GGTTGTTTGTTCGTCTTGTCTGGTAGGCAGAGTAGATTTTTCGCGAACATTGCAATGGATCCTTTTCAGGTAATACCTCGTTAAAGCTCAAGACCCAAATTGCACAAGATTAGTAATCTTGTGCAAGGTTGGGTGTTGGGGGTGGGGTTGGTGAACGCGAAGTTCTGGGGGCACCGTGTGTTTGGGGACCGAGAGTCCCGAATTGCAGAGTTGAGAAACTTGCACTGTCACCAATCGGATTGCTTCCAAAACTTCCGAAACCAATCAGATTGCTTCTACACCTTCTGTAACCAATCAGATTGCTTCACACGAAGAGACAGCACAAAAAACGCGAAGTGTGCAAGAATAGTAATCTTGGCCCGCGCGGTCCGCAATTTGGGTCTTGAGCTTTAAATTCAACCCTGGACTTGGCTAAATATTCAGCCAATCAGTCGACCCAAGGAGTGCCCGTACGACATTAAAGCCCGAGTCCCAAATTGCGAGGCGCGTGGGTCATGCTTTTAAAACTTGACGAAGTACAGTGTGCAAGCTTTGAAAAGTAGCGCACCTGCAATTTGGGACTTTCGGGTGCTGACACAACCCCCAAGGCGAAAAGTCACTCCCGAAAACAGGGTAAAACACATTGAATTCCAAAACCGTGGCAGGGAAGCGAAGGTGCAAAGCCGAGAACCAGGTTTGCTGATGACACAACCCACGAAGCGAGTTCCGCGGCAAATTGTTACCTGGGGCTCCTCATTTCTCCTTTGCTGGTAGCAACCTGACAAGAAGCGCTTGCCACGTCCAAAGCGCTGCATTTGCAACCACATTCAGTTCTCTTTTACGTTAGACAGTTTCATTGAGGGCGGGTCCAGCGCGTACGTTTTCAGGTCATAGACAGTTCATTCGTCGTGGTTTGAAACGATATCAGGCGGTGCACAGCGGTTTTAAAATTTCACCGTTTTGAACCGTGACGCAGTACAGATTACCGTACTGGATGAACTGTAATGTACGGAAAACGTACGCGCTGGACCCGCCCTGAGTAGGAAGTTCGACTGACTATGAAGCACCTCGTTTCTCCTCCAGCAGATCATCTCAACTGTTTTAGTTCGATCTTGCTTTTCTTATTGTACAGCGCCGTAATTCGTGGTACCACCCGCAAGTCCACCCGCAAGTCCCATCACTTGTACTACTACCGCACAAAGCAGCCATCATGGCCCACACGTCGCTGCGACCAGCGATCGTCCTCGCTGGTGAGTGAACGATACTCACGGCCGTTCGACCTCGCTTACTGATCCTTGCACGACCGCATCATGTGCGGGTCACGTAGTAAGCGGCATCGATCTGCGGCGTTTCCCTGCCTCTGAGACTCCCTTCCCTGCTCCGCTCCACGGTGTCTTTGTTCCTCTGGGCATTCGCTCTTGCGATGGCCCGGCCTATTGCAAACAAAGCAGCGCCCCTTAAATGGCGCAGCAGCTGCATTCGCCGCAACGGCGTATACGGTGGCGTGCTCGGTCGGTCCCCGAGGGCGATGTCCGTAGTAGGACCCCGGTCTCGGACAGCGCAAAATGTCAATTTTCTCGGCGAGCGCGAGGATCTCGTTGAAATTCGAGAGCCCGCGTAGCATGATTTCGTGCGAGATGTCCGTCTTCAGCCCCCCGACGTAACGGTCCACCCGCTCCGCTTCGTGCATGTAGCCGACTTGCTCGCATAATGCGAGAAAACCGCTGGTGTAGTCTTGGACCGACCCAAGTTTGTCGCCAAGTACGCAGTTTCTGTCGCGCCGAAATAGAAGCCGCAATCGGCTCGAAGCGCGCTCGAAGCCCTGCGCACCACGCATCCCACATGCTATACTGGGCGGTTTCGCAGAACGAACTCCAAGTGACGGCTGGACCCGTGGGCTCTTCCTCTTGCGACGGGGGCTCGTAGGCGCGTGGCGACGTCACAATGGCTCGCCGCCAGTCCATGGCGGGGCCCCTTAGCAGCGAAACAGCGCATCGAATATTCGCTGCGTCCGACTCGACGTAATTCGCGTCGAAGAAAATGTTCATCGTGAAGACCCACGATTGAACCGTCGGACCTCCTCGTTGGCTCGGGTCGAAGCAGGGCGGGCGCTGCGGTTTGAGCGGCATTGGCGTGACGATGTCGTTGTTGCCGACGGTCGCCGCAAACTCAACGTGACGACGAGCTTCGCGAGGCCCGCTCGTGCTTGGTGCGACCCTGTTCCTCCCCATGCCAGGCATTGATTGGGCAGCGCCATCACTGGCTGCGCCTGAGCGCTGTCCCACGCTGTCATGTTGTGACGGTGTGCCGGATGAGATAACAATCGGCTCTTCCGATTGCGCAAGTGCATTTGCAGGTGCTTGTGCTGGTGCTGGTGCATTCACCGTTGATTGCTGGCGGGCGGAGTTACGTTCCGCCGTGAGTGTCGCGATTTCGAGCGCCGAATCTTCGAGTTGGCGCACGAGACGGTCGAGCTGCTCCTGCGTCAGTGTCGCAAGATTAAGTTCGGCCATGGCGGGGGTGTCGGGCAAACTCAGCGAGAGCCTCTGTCGTGGCCGTGCGTGCTTACGAGAGAGCACTTCGAGCGGCGGTGCTTGTTCGCTGAGAGACGTCTACCCCCCCCAAAAATTGAGATAGTGGGGAAGCGAAGGTGTGGGTGCGGTCCGAGAGGAGATCGTAGGCTCTGAATACCAAGTGTTACGAGTGCAATTGAGCGAGCGAGCGAGAATTGCACTATCGAAGCAAAACAATACAATTGAGCGAAAAGCATGAGCGAAGTTATATAGCGAAGCTAGTGTGGTAACGGTAATGCGGGAAATTGGGGTGCGCTACGGGCCTAGCGCCGAGGTTGGGAATTGTCGAGGCGGAGGTCCGGAGCGCGGGTTACTAACCGAACCGTGAGGTTGGGTCGCATCGTGAGCAGTTGTCAGATTACAATTGTATCTCTAGGCTACAGTAGGGTCACTCCTTAGTGAGTACAACACTTTAGGGTTAGGTTTCCCCTATTTGTACTCACCTCTTGCCTAGTTCAATCATTCATTCCTAGTTCTATTCTTGACAACAGTGGCGGGAGTCGTGGTCGAGGCGAATGTCGCGAGCGGGTAACGTTCACGGATGGGTGCCGATGGCGGGAACGGGCATGTACGCGGTAAGCAGGGATGCGAAGTAAGGAAAATGAAATTTCCTTACACTAGTGCTATATAATGGATTTGTAATGGATTTGTATAACATTTCAGAAAGTACTTGTGCTCGTTCGAACAGCCTGTGAACCCCTAGCGTGATATGCGGCAGCAATTCCTAGGCTTTACCACACTGAACCCTTCGATTTTCCCAAACACAGCGGTGCGGTCTGCCTGAGTCACATGCGGGGAAATGTAAATTGGAGCATCTGGAGGATTCACACACGAAACCGGTAGAGCAAGGGTTTCTCGATTTGTTTTAGGGGACCCTACCAGATCAAAGCTGCAACCCAAGTTCACCCTTCCACGGCAGGGTTCCCGGTGAGACGCCGTCAAATGGCAGGGTTGTTTGTTCGTCTTGTCTGGTAGGCAGAGTAGATTTTTCGCGAACATTGCAATGGATCCTTTTCAGGTAATACCTCGTTAAAGCTCAAGACCCAAATTGCACAAGATTAGTAATCTTGTGCAAGGTTGGGTGTTGGGGGTGGGGTTGGTGAACGCGAAGTTCTGGGGGCACCGTGTGTTTGGGGACCGAGAGTCCCGAATTGCAGAGTTGAGAAACTTGCACTGTCACCAATCGGATTGCTTCCAAAACTTCCGAAACCAATCAGATTGCTTCTACACCTTCTGTAACCAATCAGATTGCTTCACACGAAGAGACAGCACAAAAAACGCGAAGTGTGCAAGAATAGTAATCTTGGCCCGCGCGGTCCGCAATTTGGGTCTTGAGCTTTAAATTCAACCCTGGACTTGGCTAAATATTCAGCCAATCAGTCGACCCAAGGAGTGCCCGTACGACATTAAAGCCCGAGTCCCAAATTGCGAGGCGCGTGGGTCATGCTTTTAAAACTTGACGAAGTACAGTGTGCAAGCTTTGAAAAGTAGCGCACCTGCAATTTGGGACTTTCGGGTGCTGACACAACCCCCAAGGCGAAAAGTCACTCCCGAAAACAGGGTAAAACACATTGAATTCCAAAACCGTGGCAGGGAAGCGAAGGTGCAAAGCCGAGAACCAGGTTTGCTGATGACACAACCCACGAAGCGAGTTCCGCGGCAAATTGTTACCTGGGGCTCCTCATTTCTCCTTTGCTGGTAGCAACCTGACAAGAAGCGCTTGCCACGTCCAAAGCGCTGCATTTGCAACCACATTCAGTTCTCTTTTACGTTAGACAGTTTCATTGAGGGCGGGTCCAGCGCGTACGTTTTCAGGTCATAGACAGTTCATTCGTCGTGGTTTGAAACGATATCAGGCGGTGCACAGCGGTTTTAAAATTTCACCGTTTTGAACCGTGACGCAGTACAGATTACCGTACTGGATGAACTGTAATGTACGGAAAACGTACGCGCTGGACCCGCCCTGAGTAGGAAGTTCGACTGACTATGAAGCACCTCGTTTCTCCTCCAGCAGATCATCTCAACTGTTTTAGTTCGATCTTGCTTTTCTTATTGTACAGCGCCGTAATTCGTGGTACCACCCGCAAGTCCACCCGCAAGTCCCATCACTTGTAGTACTACCGCACAAAGCAGCCATCATGGCCCACACGTCGCTGCGACCAGCGATCGTCCTCGCTGGTGAGTGAACGATACTCACGGCCGTTCGACCTCGCTTACTGATCCTTGCACGACCGCATCATGTGCGGGTCACGTAGTAAGCGGCATCGATCTGCCAGCCATTCGTCCTCGCTAGTGAGAGCAAGACATTTCCGCGCTGCATGTTACTGGTCACTCTGGTGGCTAAATTGCTGCTCGTGCTGAATCTGCTCGCCCATCGTGCAACATTTTGAGAAACTTCCGCAATTTCATCAACAGTAGGTCGGGAGAAAAAAATAAAGGCAACGCCCAATGTCCTCGCGTGCACGTGGTTTTCCCCGCGCAGTGCTGCTCTCCCTCGCCTGCAGCGCCATCGCGGGTCGCATTCTCCTCACTGGGTTGAACACTCGCTGTACGTCGAATCTCTTCCTGTACGTACTCGATTCTGCGCGCAGCACTACCACGTCCCATCCTAAGCCCTAAGTCGGATTTCATGCTACTTCGCTGATCATGTCATAAATCCGAAGCTTCTGATGTGGTTTATTTCCGTTTTTTTATTTCTGTCTGTTCTTCTCCCCGTTGTGCGCAGACCGAGCGACGTCGAAGCCTTTCTCAGCGAGCGGTTTGACTGGCTCGTGTATCCTCGATGCTAACGTGTAAGCGCCGACGTCGCGTCTATTTCTGTTCCTTTTAAAAACACTGGTTCTGATTCAGGCTGACTACGTGTGCATTCTATTTCGTTTTGACTACTTCTCCTGCGTTTCACGTTCACTTTCACGTTCACTTTCACGTGATCGCCATTACGAGCAAAAGGAAGCTCAGCTGCTAGATCTTTAGATTCTTCATCCCACTGTTAGCACCACCGAATCTGCAAGCCTGCAGTCACTCTCCTGCTGCTTCCTCATCCGTCTGTTCCCTCAACCGCCATTCCCCCCCTGCCCCCCCCCCCCCTCCCTTTCCATCTCCCCGCCCCTCCCTCCCCCTCCCCCTCTCTCAGCACCACTTACCAAACCTTCTCCTTCTTCTTCCGCGTTATGGGCGTACCGTACACGTCGGAGCCGACTTTCGACACGCCTGGTTACTACGACACCATGACCGACGCCCTCGTGGTCGAGTTTCCCAACTGCACGTTCTACAGAGAGCCAACATTGGACAATTGGAACTGCACCGTCGTAGACAAGCCCATCAAACTCCCTACGCCGTACCAGCCTGTCAACACCCTCAGGAAGCTAGTGGACGCTGGGCTGTTCACGTATCCCGGGGACTTCTATGTTGGGGTTAATGTGAACGGCGAACCGGTTGTGGGAGCAATTGGAGCCACTATGATGAAGTTTTGACTGCCAGGGATTGGGCTTGTGGAAAAAAATAGGCTCAAATGCTAGGTATTCATACGTACGTACGTAGGCCTGGTTTGATTGACTTGTATTGGGTAGCATCAGGTGTATAAAGCTAATGAGGAAGGATCTAATGAAAAGCCTCCCGCAAACATTTTTGTTGTACAATGGTACATACACTGGAAAATCTCCCCTGTAGGATTTGAGCCAGGTTGGGAAACCCAGAACCCGTAGGCAAACTTCCATTGTAACTATGAAAGAACCAAACATTGAACAGACCCTGTGATCCACCAAGCAACGGCGTATTGACCAGGCTTGGTGAAGAGACTGAAACTGAAACCCAGCAAAAGGCTACAATATTGTGGCCCTCGCTTGACAGTTACGGACGGTACATAGAAGATACTACTAGTGTGTTGCTTAAATGAGAAGGCGACGCGGGTCTGAGAGGTTTGCTGAAATCGCAGAAAGTAGTTTGCCTGCAGATTGCGAGTGAAAGAAAAGGCAAGGGGTTGAAGCTGAAGCAATCGAGCAGCAAGAAACGTGTGAATGAGACACCGTAACACTGCATGCCCTCAGGTACCCATGTGACACATCACATGCACTGTGTGCCACCTGCTGACACAACACTGGCTGCTTGAATGCGCCTGGCAACCCCATCTGCCTTGCCTCACCTGCCGTGGTGCCATCGAGAGCACCTCACCTGCCGTGGTGCCATCGAGAGCACCTCACCTGCCGTGGTGCCATAGAGAGCACCTCACCTGCCGTGGTGCCATCGAGAGCACCTCACCTGCCGTGGTGCCATCGAGAGCACCTCACCTGCCGTGGTGCCATCGAGAGCACCTCACCTGCCGTGGTGCCATCGAGAGCACCTCACCTGCCGTGGTGCCATCGAGAGCACCTCACCTGCCGTGGTGCCATCGAGAGCACCTCACCTGCCGTGGTGCCATCGAGAGCACCTCACCTGCCGTGGTGCCATCGAGAGCACCTCACCTGCCGTGGTGCCATCGAGAGCACCTCACCTGCCGTGGTGCCATCGAGAGCACCTCACCTGCCGTGGTGCCATCGAGAGCACCTCACCTGCCGTGGTGCCATCGAGAGCACCTCACCTGCTGTGGTGCCATCGAGGGCGCGCGCGTCTGCAGAGAGTGTGACCTCCATCTTGCTCGCCACCTGCAGCTGTGCGCCTGCTGTGGGGCGAGAGGGCGAGGGAGGTAGAGAAGGCGATAGGGAGGCACAGAAAGGAGAAGAAGGGAGGACACAGTTGAAAGGGGCAAAGAGGAGAAGCTAGGTAGGAGGGGTGGGATGAAGGCGCAAGTACTCTCACATCCACCTCTTCCCCTCCATCAACGCTGCTTTCCCTCCATTACCACATTCCCACCAAAACCAATCCGATCCCACCTACAAGCAACCCATCTCCACCGAAAACCAATTCGTCCCCACCCACAACCAATCCATCCCCACCCCTCTCTTGCCCCTCACCCCTCACCCGTCACCCCTCGCCCCTACCCCCTGGCCCCTGGACCCTGGGAGGGCACGTGACCTGCAGAGGAGTCGGCGGGCAGACGTAACACCTTGTCGGAACGGCCCACCGCTAGAATGCCCGACTGCCATGGCCCCCACCATGCCATGCCATGCCGTGCCATGCACACGCAGGGGGGGGATGCACCGCCATGCCATGCAGGATACGTGCAGAGGGGGGGGGGGGGGAGAGCATGGGAAGAAGAGACGGATGGTGAGGCAAGAGGTGACGGAGGGAGGGAAGGGAGAAGAGCAGGGGGAGAAGAGGCCGGCCGGCGGGGTTGGGAATGAGTGGGGGAGATGCAAGGCGTGCATGCTTGCTTGACGCCCTCAGGCCTGCCAGCATCCAGAGAAACCATTGGAAGCGACACTCATCCCATGCCACTCGCCCATGCCCCACGCCCACCGCCCACCCCAGCAGCACCACCCCAGCACCACCCCAGCACCACCCCCCCAGCAGCATCCCCCAGCAGCACCCCGGTACGGCAGACGGCAGGCGGCACCTGGGGCGGGTTGAGGATGGCGGAGAAGCGGTCCACCGCGTACATGCCCAGATTCGATATGCTGTGCGCATGGGGGGTGGTGCATGGGGGGGAAGAGCAGGTGTGAGCAGGTGGCAGCAGGTGGTGGGGGGGTTGGAGACGGGCATGATTTCATGGCCCAGGCATGCGAGGCGCTGACGAGGCATGAGTGGGAGTACTGCAGGTGCGCCATGCCATGCTTCCCTGGGCGCGGTCAAGCCATGTCTGCGTGCGGGGAGGGTTGAACCATGCGGATCCATGGGCAGCAACGTGGGATAAGGGAGTGGCCATGTGGGACGGGGGTGAGGAGGGTGAGGTGGTTCTTGCACCGCACTGCACCGCACAGCAAAGCACAGCACAGCACACTGTGCACTACATGTGAGAGAGTCAGCTAACAACGACCCCACAACACCACCCTCCTGAACTCACCTGAAACACCACCCTCCTGAACTCACCTGAAATCAGTGTGAAATGTAACCTGCATACTCTGTACTCACGACCACCTGAACAGAAGACAAACGCCTGACCTCACCTGTAGGCCACCTGAGCGCACCTGAAGGCACCTGAGCCCACCTGAAGGCAACAGAGAGCAGCTGAAGGCACCTGAGCACACCTGAATGCACCTGAGCGCACCTGAATGCACCTGACCGCACCTGAATGCACCTGATCGCACCTGAAGGTGCCGCCCTGGAATTCATGCGGCTGCAGCTTGCCCGCCCTGGCCCTCTCCACCAGCTGCTTCACCTGCCCAGGTGAACGAGGGGTGGTGCATGGCATGTGCCGCATGACACACAGGGCGCAGGGATGAGGTGAGACAGGGGTGGTGCATGGCATAGGCAGCATGAGGCAGGGGGGGGGGTAGAGAGAATGGCATGGGGCGATGGAGCACGGGACAATAATATAAGGGAGCAGCGAGGTAGCGATGAGGTGGGAGGGTGCGAGAGGGAGAGAGTGGCAGCGGTGAAAAGGATTGCGGCAGGGTGGGAAGAGCAGGGCAGAGGTGGTCACCTCCTTGGAGATGGCTCCAAGCGACTTCTTGTCCGCGTCTTTCAATATGGGCGTGATGAGTCCCTGCCACCCCCATGCAGTCGCACACACACACACACAACCACACACGCATGCACACATGCACACACACATGCACGCAGGCACGCAGGCACACAAGCAGGTACAAATATAATGGCAATCCACCGCAAGGGTGGAGCAGGCAAGGCTGTCATTCAAGCAACAAGCACACCGGGCTTCACCCCACTAGGCACGTCACCCATGCACCATCCCTTCCCACCACACTCTCCCCCCATACCCTCCCTCCATGCCCCTCCCCCCATGCCCTCCCGACCCCTCCCCCCATGCCCGCCCCCATCCTTTCCCCCCATACTCTCTCCCACGCCCTCCCCCCTCCCACCTTGTCAGTGGCGACAGCGATGGAGATGTCGACACTGCTGTTGCTCACCACGCGCCCCGCCTTGCCGTCCCAGTGCACTGCCGGGGGGGGGCAGGGCAGGGCAGGGCGGGCACGGGTGGGGTGACTGAGAGCATGTGGATGCGGTGGGTGGGCGGAGCAAGGTGTGGGCGGAGCAAGGTGTGGGCGGAGCAAGGTGTGGGCGGAGCAAGGTGTGGGCGGAGCAAGGTGTGGGCGGAGCAAGGTGTGGGCGGAGCAAGGTGTGGGCGGAGCAAGGTGTGGGCGGAGCAAGGTGTGGGCGGAGCAAGGTGTGGGCGGAGCAAGGTGTGGGCGGAGCAAGGTGTGGGCGGAGCGAGGTGTGGGCGGAGCAAGGTGTGGGCGGAGCAAGGTGTGGGCGGAGCAAGGTGTGGGCGGAGCAAGGTGTGGGCGGAGCGAGGTGTGGGCGGAGCAAGGGGTGGGCGGAGCAAGGTGTGGGCGGAGCAAGGTGTGGGCGGAGCAAGGTGTTGGCGGAGCAAGGTGTGGGCGGAGCAAGGTGTGGGCGGAGCAAGGGGTGGGCGGAGCAAAGGGTGGGGGCCCGGCGGGTGGGATGTGGGAAACGTGGGAGAGCATGGGTGGAGAAGCAGCAGGGGAGCGGCGATGGCTGACCATTGGCGTCAGGTGTGTGGGCGAGAGCCATGGCGACGGCCTTGATGACAAAGTCGTTCACCGACACCGCCACTCCCCACTTGTCTGCGCGAGGGGGGGAAGGAAAGCAGGGGCGAGGCAGAGGGCAGGCCAGGCACGAATGGGAGCGGGGAGGGAGAGAGGGCCATGGGATGAGGCGCGGCCACATCGTTTTCCTGGCTTGGGTGGCCTGGCCTGTGAGAGATAGGAGCACATGGATCCAACAGACCAAGGTCGAGCCCCGCCGGGTGACGGCCCACTCACGGTCTGCCATGTGCGCTGGCTCTCTCGCGCACACACGCCCCTTCTTCCTTCTTCCTTCTTCCCGCCACCCCCACTGTGACATGCTCCCTCCAGGTGGAGGCGGAGGGCAACAGGCGCGCTGCCTCCAGTCCAGCGCCCTCCACCCCCCTCACACCCTCACATCACGCGCATGTACACCAACGTCTCTGTTAACATGAGCAACACCATGTAAGAGAAGACGCCCCCTGCCCCCTGCCCTCGCCCCCCCGGCACCCCCCCTGTGCCGTACCTTTGAGCTCCTTGCGCAGCTGCAGCGTGGCGTCGATGTCCGCCTCTGATGACCATGCAGGGCGCACGCACGTGGGGGGACACGTGGAGGGGCACATGGGGGGGGGTGGGGATGGAGCAGAAGCGCAGGGGGACGAAGGGAGGAAGGGAGCACAGGCAGTAAAGTGGGGATTAGATGAGGGCGTGGAAGGAAGCACGGCACGGAACGACGGAGAGCACAGGGCTGAGAGAGTATCGGAAGGGGGGCGGGAGGAAAAGAGGGGAGGGAGTCGAAGAGGGGCCAAGACAACAAAGACGTAGACGGGAGAGGCAAGAAGAGAGCAGGCAAGGCACACAGCAGGTGGGTGAATGAGCGGGGTGGTGAAGAGGAGGCAGACGCGGAGGTGGAAGGGGGTGGAAGCGAAGGAGGCGGGGCAAAGCACAGTGCACAGCAGGGCAGCAATGCTGCTCCATGCACCTCAGCACGCCCCAGTGCCCCACAAGTGAGGGTCGCACCTGCCCCACCACGCCTCACCTGCCCCACCATGCCTCACCATGCCTCACCTGCCCCACCATGCCTCACCATGCCTCACCTGCCCCACCATGCCTCACCATGCCTCACCTGCCCCACCACGCCCCACCATGCCTCACCTGCCCCACCATGCCTCACCATGCCTCACCTGCCCCACCACGCCCCACCATGCCTCACCTGCCCCACCATGCCTCACCTGCCCCACCATGCCTCACCTGCCTCGGCGTACAAGTGTGGCGACCCCCACTTGGACTCCATCAGCCGCTGTGCGATGATCTGCCGCCCAGGGGATGACGAGGGAAGGGGGGAGGGGGGAGGGGCGGGGGTGGTGGTGGGGGGGGTTGGAGGGAAGGTTGGAGGAGGGTTGTGAACACGGGATGTGATACAAGGGAGCGGGGCAGCAGGGGGGCGAGAGAGCGCATGAGGATGGCACGGATGAAAAGCAGAATTCCTGGGGTAATGGAGAGGGGGGAGGGCGGGGTTGGCGGGGCGAGGAGGAGGTGGAAACACAACAGTGCTGTGCTGTGCTGTGCTCCGCGCTCTCTCTCAACTCCTCCTCCGCCTTACACCAACTACCTGTGCCTCACATCCCTCGCCCTGTCTCGCTCTCGTGTCCACCCCCTCTGTGTGCACCCCCTGTGTGTCCACCCCCTGTGTGTCCACCCCCTCTGCGTCAGTCCACTCACCCGCCGGATCTGCGTGGTGGGAACGTCCACGAACGCCCCTGCCGCCCCTCCCAGCGCGGGCGCTGCCGCCGCTGCAGGCGCAGGAGGGGGGACAGGAGCGGAGAGGGGGGGAGGAACAGCCCTGGGCGCAGCAGCAGCCGCAGCTGGGGGGGTCGGAACAGAAGCAGTAGCAGGGGCGACAACGGGAGCAGCAGCAGGGGCAGCAGCAGCAGTGGTGGTGGCAACGCTTCTAGCAGCAGCAGCAGGGGCGGAAGCAGCAGCGGCAGCAGCAGCAGGGGAGGCGGCGGCAGCGAGGGCAGCGAGGGCGTCGGCCTTGGTGACGACCCCGCGGGGGCCGCTGCCCTGCACGCCCTGCGCGTCCACCCCGCTGCCCGCCAGCAGCAGCCGGGCGGCGGGGCTCACCACCTTGTGCATGCTGGGGGCGGCGGCGTGGAATGGGCGGCAAGACGTGGCAGCATGCATGGGGGGGGCGGCAGCAGCGGAGGGTGCGAGGGCAGGGGCGGCGGTGAAGCACCCACCCGCAGCGGCGGAGGGGGCGGTGGCGCTGGCAGGCGCAGTGGCAGTGGTGGTGATGGGACGAGGGGCGTCCACCTGGTGAGACACACGGGGGTCGGACAGATGAGGGACACGCATGGCCATGCGCCACGTGGCATGGAGATGAGCACACGTGGCAATAGCGGCATCAACCCAGAACAGCAGAGGTAATGAATCTACGCGCAATGGCACATTCGAATCTGCAAACGTGGTACCGCAGGGCAGGGTGAGCGTGCGAGGTACATGCATCCTCGTGGCACGCGCGCAGGGCTGTTCGACTCGTGCCTTCATACTAGGCTGTCGCGCGCATCCGCTAGCAACCTCGCGGCGGGCGGGCATGGCGGGATGCGCGCAGCTGCGAGCGCGCGGATCCACTCACCGCTGCGATGGATGGCGCCGCCGCGCCCCCACCTCGCGCAGCTGGCGCGAGCGCAATGGCGAGGAGCCTGCGGGGAACGGCGATGGCAGCAGAGGGGCACGGATGGGAGGGGACGAGCGATGATCGACGCGCTGGGCGGTGCTCGCGCCGCTCGCACGCGGCCTCGAGTCGATCCCTTCCATGGCGGCCGCGTGCGCGGCGAATCTCGGGTGTGCCATATGAACCCCGCGATGCGCGCGTGCCGCATGGCTACAGCCGGCGTGCGGTCTACGATAGAGCGAGGGGTTGAAGCGCGCAGGGGAAAGGCGGGTGGCGAAGCAGGCAGATCGCTCGGTTCGCGATTGCACGCGACGCAACGGTACGCGTGCTTTGTCGGGCGACGGCTGGTCCGCGAAATGAACGCGCGCGATAGCGGTTGAGCGAGTGAGATGCGGTCGTACCTGGAGTGACGGGCGACAGCGCGCGACATGGTTAGATCGCAGCGACGCGTTTGGCGGGAAAGGAGGGATCGTAAACAGACGATGGCACGACCCGCACGAGTGCCCCTTTGAGGCAACTCCAAGCTATGTCGAGAAGATCCCCGACACTCACGGCGGTGGCACAAAGAGGATGAGGAAGCCAGATGTGGTGTGGTCGCTCAAACCTTGGAGAGCTAGCTGGTGCTTTGTTCGGCAAGCAATGTGCGAAGAGGCGATAGGGCGCTCGCAGTGCGAGAATGGACGGCCGCTGTTACCAGTCTCGCAACTCACGAGCGAGAACGGCAGCCCATTCAACCCACCCCCAGACACCTGCGAGAGGCCGCATTGGTTGGATAAGCCGCAGATTCAGGAAGATCCGAAGTGCAAGGGAAAATAGGGTTATCTTATAGATGGTCACAAACAGGGGCCCGCTGTCACAGATAGTCACTCGGCTATCACGAACAGTCACAGAATTTAGAAATCTATCACGGATGGTAACCAACTTTGGAATTCTACCAAGGATAGTCACACTCTACCCCACAAAATTTTAACGTTCGTCACAAGACGAAATGCTCGGTCTTCATGCTGCAACGGCCTTAAACTGTTGAGATTTATGGACCTTTAATTCGCAGTCGGTTTTGTCATATGTGTGTATTTTTTATTATTTTCGTGGCGAGTGAATTACAACAACACAAAAATGCGCATCTCTCACAAACCGTAAACGTACAAATGTAAAACACACAAATGCACATCTCTCACACCACAAATTACCTTCAAATGCAAAACCTCATTTTCCTTTATCGTCGGCGAATAGGCGGTAGGTTGGCGTGCAAACCACGGTTTGATCGCAGGGTAGTGTTTGCAGCGGAAGATTGAATCTCAGGTCAGACTGAATGTAAATGACTGAGTTGATAATAGCATGCATACATCGGGTTTATATAAGAATACAAGGGAATACGAAAAGACCTAGGCTAGCCATGTACTCTAAGGGGTACATTCCCTTATTGCAGCGAATTCAAACCGTGCGGCGCGGGAACCCGTTCCAAACCTGTTCCCGCTCTTTTCACTTCGAATGTTTCTGCCTGCATCGGTCTTGATCAGACGGTTACCAGTGTCGCTTCGACTCTTCTGACTCCTCGGCTTCGTACACTTTAGAGTCGGTCCCTGTAGCATACAGGAATGCCTTCTCGTAAAGTTTCGTATCGTAACACTCCCTTTCATTCCTGGGCGCGCAGAGGGCTGACTCGCTTGACCACTCCGGTAAGGTCGGAACAGTGCTTGTACTGCCGACGTGGCAGTCGCTTGGTGAGAAAATCGGATGCCATCTCGGTGGTAGGGCAGTACGTGAGGTCAACCTTGCCTTGGTCAATTTCGTCCTTGACGAAAAAATACCGAAGCGCGATGTGCTTCGTGCGGTTCACGAAACTTGGCTTGTTCGCAATCTTGATGGCACTCTGATTGTCGCAGTGAAGACGAAAGGTGGGCGAAGTTGGAATTTTCGCCTCCTGCAGTAGCTCCTGCAGGTACAGACCTTCGCGAACTGCTGCTGTCGCGGCGATGTATTCTGCTTCGGCTGATGACAGGGCAACCAGCTCCTGCTTTTGCGAGTTCCAGGAGATTGTTCCTGTTGGTTTCAGGCGAAAAACGAAGCCGGTTCGGGACCGTCGATTTGCAGGGTCAGCAGCATGGTCTGCATCCACGTAGCCGTTGAGGTTGAAGGAGGTTGTCGTCAGCGTGGAGTAGGAGAGCCCGATGTCAGGTGTGAAAATGAAGTACTGCATGGCGCGTTCCAGATCCAGCTGGTTCTCTGCTACTGGCTTGCGAGAGTACTGTGCCAGATGGCTGGCGATGTACGAAAGGTCGGGTCGGCAGGTGACAGAGGCGAACAGCAGGCACCCCAATTTCTGCTGGTACATTTGGAGTCCTGCGGGCGACAGATGTTTGTTGTCCGGTTTGTAGTTGGCACTGGGGTTGCGGTAAGGGGTTGAAAGTGGTGCGGGTGAAATGTTGAAGCGTTCCCCCAGCTGCTCTGCGTACTTAGAGGCTGACAGATGAATTGTTTCTGGCGCGTAGGTGATGTTTAACCCCAGAAACTGTGTGACGTTGTGGTTGATGGTGATGTCAACGCGCTGCGCCAGGTTCTCTTCGAACTGATTAAGGAGCTTGTTGCAGGCGCCGGTGTACAGCAGGTCATTGACGTAGACTGTTAGAAGGATGTAGTCGCCGTTAAAGTGAAGGCGGTACATTCTGTTAGAGACTAAGGACGGAGTCTATGAAGATTAGGAGCCAAAATATCTCAACATCGTTGGGCCTAGTTTCTGAACAGAAAAGTCGAGTTCACAAGAAACGCCGTCGACGAAAAGTGCACTGTCAAAACTTCACTAAACTCATATATGTTGTAGCCCTACTCCGTGGCTACAATTCCCAAGTTGAAACGTATCAAGAGGTGAAGTAAATCTCGACTTATCAATTTCGGCGCACAGGGGGGTATGCTGCCATAAGAACTTAACTAAATCACAAAGTTCACACAAGTTCACACAAGAGAATTGGAGTAGCACTAAACCAGGTGGAAGGGATGAGGAGGACGAGAGGGAACGTCCCAAGGAGTCCCCAACCAAAGGAAACTCCATGCCACACAATTCCCTTCCCCATAGGCAACCCAACTTTGACATTTGTCACTATCCCAACCTCCACAATCCACCTCAACCCAACTTGGCCACACTTGCCAACCTGGTTTGGTTTCTCCCAACCATTTGGCAGCAACTACAGTAGAAAAGACGAATTTCCCAACCCCCAAAAGTCTGTACCCCATATTGAGTCAACCCCACAACTTCCCATAGTCACCACAACCAAATATCAAAAGCATACGAACTCCAACGTTCGTAACTTTCTTGTTCGTGCTCCGATTGAAGCGATACTTGGTTCCTCGGAAAGCTCTTGAGCAGAGGAGTCACTTCAGATATCTGCTCAATCCAAATAACATTCACACACACACTCAGAAAAACCAAACCGCACAAAACACAAATTCTTGCACACACTCACAACACGCATGCAACGCACGAACATATGATGGGAGGCAGACAGACGTGAATGCGAATGGTAGCATCACTCAACACATTCCTAGGTCGTGCGGTAGCTGCCTGAAGCCGATCTCCAGGAGGATTTTGTGCAGATGCTGCTGCCAGAGACGCGGCGCTTGCTTTATCCCGTAGAGGGATTTCTTCAGCTGGCAGACCCTGGGGTCTCCTTCCCCGTAGGTATGTGGCTGTTCCACGAAGATGGTTGCATCCACCAACGCGTATAAGAACACGTTTTTCACGTCGATCTGCCGCAGTGGTAGGTGCTTAGTGGCGGCAATGGCGAGTAGAATTCTGACGGAGGTGTGACGACTGACGGGAGCAAAGGTTTGATCGAAGTCGATGCCGTGGCGCTGATCGTACCCGCGTATGACCTAGCGTGCTTTGAAGCGCTCGATGGTGCCGTCCGCGTTAGTTTTAAGACGGAATACCCATTTTCCGCTTAGCACCCTCCTCCCCTTCACTGCTGCACGATCGACTAGGACCCATGTGTCACGTCATTCCAGTGCCTGTAGCTCTGCGTCCATGGCAGCACGCCACTCCTTGGCGTGGGGACCGGTCAGAGCCTGGCGAGGGTTCTTGGGTTCGACGGCACGTGTGAGGGTAGTGACGGACGTGTGTAGGCCGAGAAGCTGCAGGCCGGACACAGTGGTGGTGTTGCTGGTGGTGACCACATCGTCATCGTCACTCTCGTGGGCAGTTGCGGTTGCACTGGGCTCGGGTTGGCGACGCGATGGTCCTGGCGCGGGTGTGTCGTCGTCATCGTCGTCGTTGTCGTCGCGCGGGCGAGGCGGAACGCCGGGATGTTCGTCGGCGGGATCGCGGTCGAGTGCTACTGCTGCTGCCTCGTCTTCTGGGGATGCGAAACTGCGGCCGCTGTTGACATAGCCGCGTGCCTCATTGCGACGCTCGTCTTCGATCCACTGATTCAGGGTGAGTCGCTCGTAGAAGAGAACATCTCGCGCGGGAACAACCTCCTTGCTGTCAATGTCGAGAATGAGCCAGCCTTTGTGCTCGTTACTGAGTCCCAAATGAATTCCCCAGCGCGCGCGGTGAGCGAACTTGCCAATTGTGGCTGAAGTCGGCCGATATTGCACCATGCACCCCCAAACCCTCAACATGGAGGGGTCTCCCCTTGAGCCGGTCCACTTCATGTGCGGGGAAAGGTTGTCCCTGTTGGCCGTGGTGGAGAGGAGGTTGTGCAGGCGCACCGCGTGGTTCATGGCGTAGGGCCAGTACTTTTTAGGTAGGCCGGACTGATTCATGAGGGCGCGAACTTTTGTCATGAGGGTGCGATTAACCCTCTCTACTACGCCTTGCTGCTGGTGTGCGTAGGGGAGAGAAATCCCGTGCTTGATCCCCTTTTCAGTGAGGACGCTCTCCAGCTCGTAGCTGCGAAATTCCTTCGCCCCGTCACTCTGCCTGATTTTTAGCTTCTTCCCCGATTGTCGTTGCGCATGTGCGAGCCAGATGCGGAGGACCTCTGGAGCCTTCGAGCGAGCATCGACGTTGGCGATCCAGACGTGGCGTGAGTAGGCGTCGATGAAGGTGAGCGTGTACTTTTCACCGTTGATGCCGTCGCAGGTGAGCACGATGAAGTCGCTGTACACCTTCTCCAGCTTCTTGTAGCGGTTGGTGCTAGGTTCCAGAGATGGGTAGGCGCTGTGAGAGAGAGCAGCTGTGGGGCAAACGGTGCAGGTGATTGGACGAGGGGTGTTGTGTGGTTATGTGCCATCGGGGCGCAGCAGTGCTCCCGGGGGAAAAACCTTGGCGCGGAGACAGTTAGCAAGTGTCTGGCGCGAGGGGTGGCCGAGCCGCTGATGCTAGAGATCGTCTTCGGCGCGAATGCCGGAGGTGCGCATGTAGCGTGCATGATGCTCTGCTGCTTTCGCCTCCGTTTCTTGCGGAATCTGGAGTGGGGGTTCTTCCTCTTC